GAGAAAGTCTCGCTGTTGTCGGGGAGATTAAGAAAATCTCTGAGGAAGGATTAGAGGGGAATTTCATAAAGGATCTTAAGGAGGACACACGGGCATAGCTCAAGTTACAGAGGCCTAGAGGGCTGAGAGAGACTGTGAAGCTAGTACAAAAGGTGGAGGAGCAGTAGAGGGAGAAGGCCAACAAGAGCAAACACATGGGAGGAACTTATAGGAACACCACTACTACCTTGGCATCAAGGACTCAGACGGTATCATTTCAGAGGGAAGCACCTTACGAGAAGAGCACTAGAGTTCGTCCTGGAGGTAATTTCAAACGCCTCACAGAAGAAGAAGTGCAGGATCGGCAGGCAAAAGGGCTATACTTCAAGTGTGATGAGAGATTTACACTCGGGCATAGGTGCAAGAATCGAGCCTAAGTCTTAATGGTCTATGAAGGGGAAGAGGAGAGCGGGGATGAATTGGAGGGGGTTGTAGAGGAGGCGAAGAAGTTATGTTTAGATGTGGCGGAGGTGTCTCTAAACTCTGTGGTAGGATTTACCACATATCACACCATAAAAGTGAGGGGACAAATTGGGGATCAACCAATGGTGCTCTTAGTGGATAGTGGAGCCACTCATAACTTCATCTCCAATCGGGTCATGGACCAGTTAGGATTGAAGCTAGTGGATACAAGGAGTTTTAGAGTCATGATGGGGACAGGAAAGGTAGGGAGGAGCAAGGGGATTTGCAAGGGGTTGGTGCTAGAGCTCCAAGGCTTACAGATAGTGGAGAATTTTCTTCTCTTGGAATTGGGAAGCACTGAACTCATCCTAGGAATGAAATGGATACAAACTATTAAAGAGACAAAGGAGGATGGGAAATCTTTGACTATGAAGGTGAAAGATGGAGGGAGAAAGGTGGTGCTGCGATAGGATGCTAGCTTATGCAGGACCATGGTATCACTCAAAACCATGGTCAAGGCAATACAGAGAGCAGGACAAGGCTATTTGGTAGAGCAGGAGAGGCAGACCAGATCCCTAAAACGACTAGCAACCCCCCCCCACCCCTTCCCCACGGTGAGCACACATTGCAATTTCGTCATGAAAGATCAGCATTCGACCTTACTGGTACCCGCAGATCCAAAATGATGAGATCGAGAGGCCCATCAGACAGTTGCTGGAGGCAAGGATTATTAGACCCAATGTGAGCCCTTTTTCTAGTCCTGTGTTACTGGTAAAAAAGGATGGCAGTTAGAGGTTCTGCGTAAGATTATAAAGCTTTAATAAGGAAACTATGTTGGACAAGTTTTCTATCCCTGTGATTGACAAGTTGTTAGATGAACTATTTGGGGCAACCATCTTCTCAATGATTGACCTGAAATCGGAATAACACCAGATCAGTATGAAACTAGGGGATGTGCACAAGATTGCTTTTAGAACTCACGAAGGTCACTACGAGTTTTTAGTGATGACTTTCGGCCTTGTCAATGCTCCAACCAATTTTTAGTCACTCATGAATCGGATTTTCAATCCTATCTTAAAAAATTTGTCTTGGTGTTCTTCAATGGCATCCTGATCTACAGTCAAACGGAGGCAGAGCATATGGAGAACCTGAGGATGGTGTTGGAGACATTGAGAGAGCACAAGCTGTATGCCAACCTAAAGAAATGGTCGTTTGCACAACCACAGGAAGAGTACTTGGAACATGTGGTGACCAAGGCAGGGGTAATAGCTGACAAGTCCAAGATTGAGGCTATGCTAATGTAGCCTTTGCCTAAGAGCCTAAGGGAGCTGAGAGGACTCTTAGGCCTCACCGGGTACTACCAGAAGTTCGTGCAAGGGTATGGCATGATAGCATGGTCATTAACTGAGCCGTTGAAAAAGGGGAGAAGGCTACACAGGCTTTCGAACAATTGAAGAAAGTAATGACTAATATACTGGTGTTATAACTTCCTGACTTCAACAGACCATTTATGGTGGAGACATTGCATAAGGATATGGACTGAGGGCGATACTCATGCAGGATAAGCGATTGATCACATATTTCAGTTAGCCGCTCATAGCCAGGGCAAGGCTCAAGTCAATGTACGAGAAATAACTGAAGGTAATTGTCTTGGCTATTCAAAAATGGCAACCCTATTTATTGGGCAACACTTCCCAATCAGAACATATCAGAGGAGCCTGAAGTATTTGCTAGAATAATGGATGGTCATTAAAGAGCATCAATGATGGCTATCCAAGCTACTAGGATATGATTTTGAAATTCAGTGCCGTCCGGGTTTAGAAAACAAAGCAGCTGATGTCTTATTTAGGAGAATTGATGAGCCTCAATTAGCAGCTTTGCCAGTACCCCTAGTCCTAGATTGAAAAAAGTTGAAACAGGAAAGTGAACAGGATGAGAGACTAAGAAAGATATCAGAGATGAGTTACTGCAAAACTTGGATAGTCATCCTGGCTATACGCTGAGAGGAGTCCAACTGCTATATAGGGAAGATTTGTTCTATCGAAGGGATCTGGATACATTCCCAAGCTGCTACAGGAGTTTCATGGGAGTGTAGTGGGAGAGCATTCAGGAGCACAGAAAACCTATAGTTGATTATCAGCAAAATTATATTGCATGGGGATGCGTCGTGATGTATAGGATTGAGTAGCCAAATGCGACATGTGCCAAAGGCACAAGTACCTAGCCATGTCGCCAGCAAGGTTACTACTACCCCTAGCCCTACCGAAGAGGGTATGGGAGGAGGTGATGATAGATTTTATCAAAGGATTGCCACGATCCGAGGGATTTTTAGAGATACTAGTAATAGTGGATCGTTTGAGCAAATATGAACACTTCATTCCATTGAGGTGGTGCACTTGCATGGAGTTCTAGAAGCCATTGTGACAAACTGGGACAAGGTGTTCCTTAGCCACTTTTGGATAGAGTTGTTTCGGTCACAGAGGATAGTTTTGAAGAGAAGTACAACCTATCACCCCCGACAAATAGCCAAACAGAAGTGACCAACAAAAGCATAGAGACATATTTGAGATGTTTTGCATCCGACATGCCAAAGGGTTGGGCAAGGTGGCTTGCTTGGACAGAATAACACGCCTGTGTCCAGTGTAGAGCAGTACCTAGAGGAGAGGGACAGGGTATTATCTGAGTTCCAGGGACATTTGTTGAGAGCCCAACAGATCATAAAGAGGAAGGTTGATGAGCACAAGAGAGAAGTAAACTTTGAGCTCGAAGATATGGTTTACTTAAAATTGAGACCCTACAGGCAGAAAAAATACTAGCTAGAAGGAAGAATGAGAAGTTATCCATATGATACTTTGAACCTTATGAGATTTTGATGTGCATTGAAGCAGTAGCCTATCGCTTAAGGCTACCACCCTCATCAGCTTTGCACACAGTCTTTCATGTCTCACAGTTGAGGAAGGTGATAGGAGAGCATTTACCGTCATCGGTACTTCCGACTTTGAAGGAGGGCATGGAGGCCATTTTGGAACCTCTAGAAGTAGCGAAGATGCATAGAGGGGAGATCGGGACACGAGAGATGCTAATCAAGTGGAAGGATGTGCCTGAGCAAGATGCCACATGAGAGCCATACAAAACAATCAGAAGATAGTTCCTGACTTTCCACCTTGAGGGCAAGGTAGATTTTGAGAAGGGGATTATTTTTATGGGGGATACAATCAGTCGGCCCAATCAATTGGCCTAACTGGGGCCGGTTCAGCAAAACCAAGCGGGCAGAGCTTGGGCTAAACAGGCAGCAGGTTCGACCCCCCTTGTGGAACCTAACAAAGCTTTGATTAAATATACTATGAGAGGAAATAAGGAGGAAAATAAGAAAGGAAAGAATTCTATTTTTGAAATAGAGAAAGAGAGGGAAATTAATTAAGGATGGAGGCTACTTTTTGGGGGAATTAGGGAGTTTAATGGGGGCTGATTCTAGGGTTTTGTTTTTCATGTTTTGTTTGGGTATTTGCTATAGTTTTTTCTAGAGCTTCCTCTTGAGAGCTTCCTAGCAGCGTCTAGGTCAAGCGGGAGAGACGATCTACCTCTCTAATCATCGATCATTATATATAACTTTGGTATTGGAGAATTTATACATAAAATCAGCTGTCATTTCTCAATTTCTGTTGTTTTTATTATCCTTTCTTGTTAATTTCATATTCAAGGCAAATCACAGTCCTCCTGAGTGATAGTAACAAAGTATAAGGAGAAAGCACCAAAAGGAGTAGGCAAGGCTAGATTGATTGTGGAAGCATGTTAGGCAGTGGAGGGATAATTGAACATTTTCTCAAAGGTGGAGGTAATGGAAAGTTTTCATTGTTGAGCAACTAGGTAAGAACTGAGTCATGAGTAGTTGGATGCTTTTCAACTTGTAAACTTGATGGTATCATAAAAATCCATAGAAGCATCAACGTGCTGGAGCTTATTGTGTGAAATGACAAGAGTGATAGGCGTTATACATAGGAGATAATTTGTGCAATAGGAACAAATAGGCTGTCATGAACATGGCCAGAGCAAGAGCAAGGTGGGTGAATGTAGCAAGTTGTCACAAGTGAAGCTAAACGTAGGAGAAGGTAGAGGGGAGGTGAGATCAATCAAAGAGCAGGGAGCATTGGCTAAGATTAGACTAAACCTGCTCTAGATCATGTTAGAAGGAAAATGTCTTTATGTTCTATCTTATTCACTAGAGAAATCTTCTAGTTATAATGAATCTAATATTATAAGAAACACCCAAATAAACAAACACACTCGCCAAATATAGAGAACTTCCTAATATGATATTTTACTACACTAATAGTGACAAATTACAAAATCATACAAACCAAAACAAGCACTAGTACTGTCGATGCAAGAGAACAAACCAGAAACATAAAAATAACTCCGCAAAGACAAACACAAACAGAATGCAATGCAATACATAGGCATGATTTGCATTAGAATCGCCGGGCCAACCAAAGCACAATTAAAAAAAGCAGATATTGTAGTTCAAGGAATTTACTGGTTCGGAAAGAAAGAAGGCCTACGTAGGTGTTCAGCTGGCGGACAAAACTCGAGAAGTTGTTGTGCTTAAAGTGCTTGGGAAGAAGATCTCTTGAGAACTCCGGCACGTTCCATACCACAAAGCTATTGTTCCCCGGACCCCATGAAACGATTGAATCAGTCGCCGGGTCATCCACCATGTCGTAGGTCTTGCTCAGGAACGGCGGAGGCGCGCTCACATTCAAAGTCGCGTTCACCACGGGCGCCGGCGCCGGAGCCCCCACAGTCATCCCTTCACCACCAACAGCGGCTGGTACTCCTTCCATGTCTTCGTTCATCGGATTAAAGAGGTCCGGAACTAGGGCTTCCAGAGCGTGACCAATCTAGACGGAGAGCGGAGGGGAGGAATTGTGAAATCGATCATGAGGAGGGTTCTATAAGCAAAGAAAAAGGAAATAAATGATAGAGAAGATTACGGCAATGGTGGAAGGAAAAGCGACGAATTGAGAAGCGACGGAGGCTACACCGCGGCGACGGGGGAAATAATTTTAAATGGGACGAAGGACGACCGCACGAAAATTACCCGTCGGTATATCGTTTAAAGAACTGTAAAGCCCTTATATCGATGGATGAAACATGAAATGAAGCGTGCATCAGCGTTTGGACTTTTGCCGTGATGCGGTGCAGAGAATGATGGGAGTAGGGGCATAAGTGAGCCGAATTCGATTCGGCTCGAATTTGACTCGTTAATGAGCTCACGAGCCGAGCTTATCGAGCTTCGAGCTCGAGCTCGAGCTCGAGCCTATAATCGAGCTCGTATGATAAACGAGCTCGAGTTCGAGCTCAACCAGACTCGACTCGAAAGCTTATCAAGCTACTCGATATAATTATATATAATATTATTTTTTTATAATATTTGAAAGCATATTTTATAAAATAACCTAACAGCAGCTACAGTTTTTCAATCGAGCTCAAGCTTTTCAAACGAGCTCGAGCTTTCGAGTCGAGCTCTGAGCTTTGGTTTTCCTAAACGGTCGAGCTCGAGCCCACTTATCGAGCTTCGCAACCATCTATGGGAGGTCCAGGCTAGGCGGAAATGTAGTTGAGTCGAGTCGAATATTTGCCTTATCAAGCTGGGCTCGGTTTGTCAAATCCATTAGATGAGCTCGATCTTTGCCTCGAGCTCGACTCTTAAGGAAATAAACCAGCAAGCGCCGGCGTTGACTCGGAAAGCTCACTCGTTTGAAAAGCTTCGAGCTTGAATCGAGCTCTGACTTAAAAAACTATAACTGGCGGTTAGTTTTTTTTATAAAATTAAAAGCTTTTTTCCAAATATTTAATAAAAAACAATAAAAATAATATATAATAATATAATCAAGAGCTTTGCATAAAGCTTTGAGTCGGGTTGAGCTTGGCTCGTTTAATCCTTAATTGAGGCTCGGAGCCGACTCTTTACGAAATTCCAAGCTCGAAGCTTGACTTCGAAAGCTCGAGCCGTTTGAAAAAGCTCGAGCTGAGTTCGAGCTCGATTGAAAAACTAGTACTGCGATTAGGTTTTTTTATAAAATAAGCTTTCAAATATTATAAAAAAATAATATAATATTATAATATATTCCTGATTTTAGAAATTCATATCTATTCATAGATTTTGTCAAATTTTTGTGACAATCAAAATGTCATTATTATCTTTTTTTTATTTTGGGGTATTAGTTAGTTTTACATAAAATGGTAATTTTATTAGATGTAAAAATTTTAAAATTTGGAATAACTTAATTTTTTTAATTAAAATTTTAAAATAATATTAATTTATGTATTCAATTTTTTTAAAAATGAACCTTAAATAATTTAAAAGTGAATATCTAAAATTGAATATAAGTATTGATTTATTGAGAAATTATTCATTACAAAATATTTATTAATTTATTATAATTAGTATTTTATTTTGATTGTTTTTATTTTTCAACATTTATTTTATTCAAAATAATAGTATAATTTATGTAATTTAATTTTATTTCGTTTTATTATTTCCTTGGATTTGAGAAAACAACAAAAAATTAAATATAAAAAAAGAGAAAAATTTAAGAAGAAACAACATTGTAACAACAATAAGAACATTCTATTAAAAACCACATTCAGACAAACCCGAACGTACAGATCCATAAAACTGAATAACTTAAATGATAACAAACACAAATTATATTCAAAACACTTAACTAACACACTTAAGGAAGTTATTGAAAAAAAAAGCCTTCAAAGATTCTTGAACACGATGGGCATGCAAGCTTGGAGTTTGGATTGAATTGGGCAGCAATTGAATTTGTGCTGAAAGCAATGTTGGACATATTGTCAGCCTGATGCATTGAGAAACTCCTTCCTCTTTCTACATGGCATAACAATAAGATTCTCACATGTTTGAATGAGGAATGCATCAGCCACTAGATGCTATTTATGGTAAAGAATATAGCATCTATATCCATACTAAAAAAATCACTTCCATTCATTATGGTATAACCCCTTATCAGCTTTCGTTTTATTTATTACAGACTTTTTCCATTTCAAGTCTTCAATCTACCTTCTACCTAGACCATGCAATGATTTAGCTGTAGAGAGAGAAAGACTAATGGGGAGATTGAAAGAGAGGGAGGAACTAATGGGGAGATTGAAAGAGAGGGAGGAATGACTTTCCATTGTGGACGGAATGATGAAAGCTCAATGTTTTAGTGGCTTAACAGAGCAAAGCTGCTCTAATTTTTTGTAATTCTTATTTTTAAAGTTATTTAGTAATCTAGAAAAGCCACTGACATCTTTTTTTGGACACATGAAAAGCATCATTAGTTTGTTTTCCCCTTTTACTCGTCACTCACAACTCACGACCTTGAGCACTGCTTTTATTTTTCATTTCGCTCCTCTCTTGCCCCCAAACGAAGACCGCGCACGACAGATGTTTGTGTCTTTTAAGCTCTAAGAGTCATGCTATTTGCATTCTTAATTTTGATCTTACAACTCCTCTTGGCTCCAATAATGAGACAACTAACAAAACTATTCTAATGTATTCTAATCTTTCCAATGAGACGACAAACAAAACTATTTTTAACTTACCCCCCACCCCTGAACGAAATTTTTTGCTCTGCCACTGGCTATATCAATCGTTGGGTTGTCCACAATCACCGCAAATGATGCATCTTCACGGCATCCAATTTCAGCATATCTAGCTTTCATAATGTTAATCAGCGCAACATATCCCAATTGTTCCTAAACCTCTTTTGCATAAATTTTCAACCTGCCTCACTCAAATCGACTCCATCCCTGCAATAGGGAATCTCCATAATTTGACTCGTGTATGCCCTAATATCTCTGTAAGAGCCGACATTTACCACCAGTATATGAAAAATCATATTTTTGAAGTCTTTCTCTCTTTCATCTCTGTAACAACACAAAAGACAGTGGCCGTATGCTCATATTGAATACATATATTTACAAAATAATGAGAATACTAAATTTGAAGACATTAACAGTGATCATTAAATTAATTTAATCTCAAGATAGATAACTATTTAGTCTATAAAATTTTTCAGAATAATTTATTTATTTTATAACTATTAACAAATTATAAACTTCCTCAAATCTTAAATTTTTTACACTTCTATCATATTGATCGAAATTAAAATTGAAAGAAGTAATAGGAAAATACACCCAAATATTTCTAACAAAACACAACAACACAAGAAACCTCAAAACACTTCCTTCTACATTAATACACGGTGCATTTCAATTTTTTTTTCCATATCTACACTTTCATTAACAAAATGAATGAAATAGATTAAAAACAAGGCTTGCAAACAAACCTCACCTAATGAGATCATGAAGCCGGATTCGAGGGAGACGAAGTGGGAGCCGAACTGGAAATGCGCCGAATGAGTTAGGGCACATCATTTTCAAAAAAAATTCGGATTTAATGAAATCACTGCTTCAACGGGCGATTTACATTCACATGTGTGTGTATGTGAAATTTCCAATTAAACAGGCACTTATGCCTTTTTTATTTTTTAAAATGATGCTTAATTACCTAATTACAGTACTAATGATACTTAGTCTAAAAATTTTCCCTTTAAGCAAGTAAAATTTAACATTTTTAGATTGAAAATTTTAACTTGATAATCTTCGCAATTTTGAAAATAAAGAAAGTATATGGGGTTTTTTTTTTTTAATTTGTCTGAACTTTCTTTTAGATCACATTATATTTAATAATGAAAAATCATATTTTTGAAGTCAAAATATATAGAAATGTTACGTCATGGAATATTCACGGCGTTAGAAAAATATGTAGTTTAACGTCTTAGTTTTATATGAAAATCCATCAAACATATAGATAAATAGCAGGGGCGTAGAAATTATAAGAGACACCAGAGTTTTTGCATAGAAACCCCTGAAATGAGAAAAAGTCACGGGGCCTTGTCCAGTTTAAATGAATCCACTTGTGTTTCTAGTCAATTAAAAATAATGCCCTTCCTTGGGAGGAAGGCCTTGGCCCAATACATCATATAGAGTGCATTATGTGGTAGAAGTTGGAAAAATTAGTGCTGACATATTTGTTTGGTCGGCATGACCATAATCAGTGAGCGATGTAGGTGAGAAGAGCATAGTCGAGTAATGGAGGTAGAAAGACTGTAGTCAAATGACGAAAGTTGGAGAGACTATAGTCTAAAGATGGTGGTCAGAGATATCGTAATTATTGGGCAACAGAGATCAGAAGGACTGTAGTTGGGCGACAACGGTCAAAAGGACCATTGTTGATATGTGACGGAGGTCGAAAAGATCGCAGTCGAGCGAAGGTGGTTGGAAGGACCATATTTAAGGGATGAAGGTTATAAAGACCATAGTCGGGCGAAGGTGGTCAAAAAGACCATAATTGATTGGTGAAGGTGTTCAAAAATAATTTATTATAGTGATAGCATCAGTTGGTGGGTGAGCATAAATACAGCATTAGTTGGTGGCCGGGCAGATTTCCAACGACAGCTGGTGGCACTACGGAAAAACATGCAATTACCGTCGGACGTTCCGGCGGATATTTTTTCTTCAAAAAGTATGGCGTTAACACCGTCGTATTTTGCGCCTGAAAAACAACGTCGTTATTTCTGGCGGAAAGAGCGCTGGTAGTTTTCCAACTCTTAACACGCCGGTGTTGACGTCGGAAAATACAAGAATTTCAATTTGAGCGGCGGATTTTATGAAAAAAATATACCAGCGCATGTACCGGCGGATAAGAGGACGATCATTTTAAAGTTAACGATTTGTTATCGGCGCAATAGACGCCAAAAAACTTTATGGCGCAAAAGACGCTGAAATTATAGCCAGCAAAAGCCCTATTTTCGAACCCGAGTCGGTCTGGCTGCTCATTTTCTTTTGCCATTTCTCTAGCATCTTCGCTCTTCTCTCGTCTCCGCAGCGTCACCTCACCCTAGATCACCATCGTCGAGGCTTATGGACATTCACGCGACGTCGCCGACGATCACCGCCTTCGTCGCTGGCGAAAGGAGACTGGTTTGGCAAAAATCCACCGTGAGTTTCCAAAGTTTTCTGCCTCCTTATTTCATCTATTGTAAGATTTTTCTTCATGTAATTTGTTATTAGACAT